ATAGGTTTCTACTTTTAATGTAATGAAGAGATTTTCTCCAAAAAATTATTTATTGTAGAGTTCTATTCTTTTTTAAACATGTACTTTACTATGCTCATGAGAAATTTGAGCGCTAGGATCATTGCTAAATTTAGACTAGTTTTTAATCATCATTCCTAAATTTAGCCTAACACTCGACCATCATATATATCTAAATTTGGCAGTAAGAAATAGTTTTTTAACCAAATCACGTGTAACCCTTTTTTAAAAAAATTTATTTGCATTTTTGAACGAATCACGAAATTGCAATTTTTGAAATTTGAAAAACGCGTGTCGCAGCAATAGGAGGTCTTTAGACCGAGCCAACCATAGTAATTGTAACAATTATCAATAAAAAAAAAATTTTTTTTAATTTTTAAAAATGACAATTTATGACAATATTAAAGAACAGTTAGGAAAAGCAGAAAGAGAACATGAGGAGGCAAAAGAAGAATTGAAGAAGTGGAAAGAGAATTGGGAGGAAAGTCTGGACCAGTTGTTGAGAGAAAAGGCAGAAAAGTGTGATGTGGAGTTGTTTAATTACTTAAAAACAAAAGAAGAAGAGTTGACAAAGGAAGTGGAAGATAGATGGAAGTTAGTAGAAGATTTGCTATATTTGTTAGCCAATTTCAATAAGGAAAAAGGTAATGAACAAATTGCATAAAAAAAAATTTTATTTTTCATTCATTCCATTTTGTTTATTTATTTGATTGTTGGAGAGAGCATTTGGTATACTGTTTATTACGTGGACCAACTGTATCTACATAACAATTTCTGAAATATATAGGTACTCAACTTACGCCCATTAAATATTCAGTTTAACCAGTTGATTCATACAGCTTTTGTTTTGATCTTCCATTGGAGCAACCCATTCTTATTTTGGAAAGTGAAATGTCATTAGTACTTACATCCAATTTTATGCAGAATTTGCAAACTCAACAAAATAACAACCATATTATCATTCAGAGATGCAGTTCAAATACTAAAACTCTTAAAAAATCTGAAAGGTGATTCAGAAGATGGACTTCATGGAAGGGATGGTGAATTGTTTCTTACCTTTCTTCATTCCAAGTTAACTGTAATGTTGCCTCTAGAAGCACCTTAAAATGTAAACATGTGGATGCACATGTTGGAAGTATACCAATAATTCTCATGAAAGAAAAAGCTGATAAAAATGATCTAGACATAGCCAAATATGAATTGATGGATAAATTTGCATGGCCACCTCATTATTGCAAATTGCCATTTGTTATTGCTATTGCAGTAGCAAATGATATTATCTCTTTCAACGAGCTTGATCACTCACAAAATCTCATATATGAATTTAAGGTTAATCTTTCTTCTCAGGATAAGTGGGAGGTTTTCCAGTATGTTTTCGGTTTGATTTTTGATTTAGAAAAATTGTTTTACTTTATTATGGAGTATTAATTTTATCATCATTCTATATTCTTAAACAAAGCTGTGTACAGGCATGTATCAATATAAGTAGGTATTGTTTGTGGGCTGTTGATCAAGTTGGACCACTTCCACCATTTCCCTTTGGTGTTTCTAATGTGCGAATAGCAGAAGAAGATTTTTGGGGTCGAGAAATAATTATCAATTACTCAGTAATTATCAAGACATATATTGGAATGAAAAAGGAAGATATGGAAAGGTTCTACTTGTTTGCATTTTATCTTAGATATTATATAAAATCATGTTGTTAGTTTTTTAATACTAATGCTATGGTAATTTTCTATGTATTAGGGTCAAATTATTCTATGACACTACAAAAGGGACACAATACTTAGAAAAAGCAGTGAAATATGTCATTAAAGTCAAAGATGATGAATCTGAAACATTAACATTATATTTAACTCCAGTAGGAGTAAATAGGAAGCCAGATTCAGTTGGAAAATTACATATTGCAATGTACTGCATTGTTCATTGTGTTTATAATGTTCATCAAAGAGGTTGGTGTATAGTAGAATTATGTTGGCCAAATGTGGTAGAACAAAATGATTGTTTCTATGTGATAGATGCAGGTGAATTTGCACAACATCATGGAAAGGCTATTCACGGCAACATGCTTTGTATTTTTGATCCAGTCACTGTTGATTCCTGTAAACCTACCACAGACATTATATGTTGATTAAAATGATGGAGGATACAGAAAATATGTGGCATGGTAATCCTCATGGTCAGGATTTTTTCATGGAACTAGAAAATTGCTATCAACAAAATAGTTTATTTTCAATATTTGATCACAATTTCCTCACTAAGCCTCAATGAAGCTACAAGCTATGATATACCAACATTTTTATTTAATTAATATATTATTCATTGGATTGACATCATAAAAAATAGTATATGTTTCTTATTTTTATATAGAAACATATGAGAATATATGTATAAAGCTAATTGCACTTATCACTCATACCTTATTAGTTTTAGCATTAAAATTATAATAATTAATTGCTTTGCTTTTGTTCAAAGATTTTGCAAAATACTTGTTTAAAACAATTATAAAAAAGCCTACAAAGTGAACATAAAATAATATATAAGGTTATAGGTACAGTCTCTGGCGAAAGTAATGGCGGTGATAATTTTTTTAAAAACTAAAAATTTTTAATAAGCAACTATCAATAA